GTGCGGCACCGATACGGAACAGGAGCTTGTGCTCAATCTGGCCATGTTCCTCTGTACGTTCCTCAAAGAACACGGAAAGCTAGTCGAAGATGCCAAGTATGTGGATTATCTGAATCAGGCGCTTATGTATTTAGTAATGATCAGCGAGGTCGACGACGTTGAAGTATTTAAGATCTGTCTGGAATACTGGAATAGCCTTGTCGAGAATTTGTACAACACCGAATTCTTTCATCCCACGCTGGAGTCGTCAAAGCGACAGCAGGTTTATCCCCGTCGTCGATTCTATGCGACTATATTATCCAAGGTTCGCTTCATCATGATTTCGCGCATGGCTAAGCCAGAAGAAGTTCTAGTTGTCGAGAACGAGAACGGGGAAGTGGTTCGTGAATTCATGAAGGATACCAATTCGATTAATTTGTACAAAAATATGAGAGAGACTTTAGTATTCCTCACTCATTTGGATTGTGCGGATACTGATCGCATTATGACCCTCAAATTATTAAACCAAGTCAATGGCACTGAATTCTCCTGGAAAAATCTCAACACTCTTTGCTGGGCCATTGGCTCAATATCGGGTGAGTTTTGAGTGTATGACACATATTTTTCTACATTCTATATTCATATATCTTGACACACATTTCCTGTTTACTTATACTGTAGTTTTTATGTCCCTGTCTGCAATGAGAGTTTGTTCCCATAACACAAAAGTATATTATGTTTAATTGTCCATCTGCGTGTCCTAAAAAGGCAATATTGGTCTGACGCTTGATCAGATTCAATAGTCAAGTCGAAACCAAATCTGTCCGTCCATCTGTCCCGATGAATAATCGCGTCGATCTTCGAACCTATTTGAGCATGTGGAAACTGCTATGGATCGCGCAGTTGGAGTCTGTTTGGGTAACTTTCCATGTTTCGCTTAAATCGATCCTGATAAATCCCAATCTCAAACTATATAAAAAGAACGCACAAGAGAACATTTCGCATAGAATGGGGCTAAAAAGATTACAGCTGCGCTGGGATTAGGATATCTTTTCGTCGGACACTCCCGATCAATGCACTCTGTTTTTGTTCTGACAATTAAGATATCATCTATCGTCCGCGCTTGTTAATACTTAATGATCCTCTGACATCGAAAAAGTTATAAGATTGAAATTAAATATATGCTAAAATTATAATTTGTAATTTTAATTCTGCAGGTGCATTCTGTGAGGAGGATGAAAAACGATTTTTGGTTACTGTCATTAAGGATCTACTTGGGCTCTGTGAGCAGAAAAAGGGCAAGGACAATAAGGCGATCATTGCCTCCAATATTATGTATGTGGTCGGACAGTATCCACGTTTTCTGCGCGCTCACTGGAAATTCCTTAAGACGGTGGTTAACAAACTATTTGAATTTATGCACGAAACGCACGACGGCGTGCAGGACATGGCCTGTGACACGTTCATCAAGATAGCAATCAAATGTCGTCGCTATTTCGTCACAATACAGCCAAACGAGGCATGTACCTTCATTGACGAGATACTGAGCACTATGAGCAGCATTATATGTGATCTACAGCCACAACAGGTAAGTCATAAATAAACTATTGGCTGTTCTATATTGCTAAATCGTATCTCTTCACTTGAAACTAGGTGCATACATTCTATGAGGCGGTTGGTTATATGATATCGGCACAAGTAGATCAGGTGCAGCAGGATGCGCTTATTGAACGTTATATGCTGCTGCCAAATCAGGTCTGGGACGATATTATATCACGGGCATCAAAAAATGTAGACTTTCTGAAAAATATGACAGCAGTCAAGCAGCTAGGCAGCATATTGAAGACAAATGTGGCCGCATGCAAGGCACTGGGCCACGCCTATGTCATTCAACTGGGTCGCATTTATTTGGACATGCTAAATGTGTACAAGATCACATCGGAAAACATCATACAGGCCATCGAGGTGAATGGCGTCAATGTGAACAATCAGCCGCTGATCAAATCAATGCATGTTGTGAAGAAGGAGACGCTCAATTTGATAGCCGAATGGGTGTCGCGCTCCAATGACAATCAGTTAGTTATGGATAACTTTATACCGCCCTTATTGGATGCTATCCTGATGGATTATCAGGTGCGTTATGCTCTTTCATTTCTAACTTTTCAGTATTTAACAGTTCATTATTAATGAGTTTAACCGATTTGAATAGGATGCGAAGGATATCATTTTATGAAAACTGCGATATCCTTACCTTAATGTATGCATGTATCTTTGTTCTACGAATAGCTAAATCAATTCAAAGTTAACTGCTCGATCAGTTTTAAAATTATCTTTACGATACTTTGTCTAAATCCTTTTACACGTATGAAATGAATATGGCAAATTGACCATATTGAATCTTTATAGGATGTTCCTGCTATAAGAAACGATTATAGTTTATTTTAATCCCATTTTACAAAAATCTGTAAGGCATCAGATAATAGTTGATTCTGTCGAAAGACTGTAAAATTACAATATTTGCTGGACTCGGTTAAACAATTCATGCATTCACATAAGGAATTTAGAATATATTTAACTAAATGGAAAAATTATGTCTCTAAACCTCGTTTGAACAGAATATTTTTAATTAACCACTATGTTTATGTTGAATCCTGAATCTGTAAGATCCAAAGATATACATTTTGTAATGTGGATTCACGTACAAACATAATAAGATTCATATTTCATTTGAATATGCCTTTGCAGCTGCTTCTGTGATATTAATCAAATGTCTCACATTAGTTTATTATTTAATATTTTTATGATTGCTTATCATCCATAATTCTACTTGTATTATTTGATTGTATTAATACTTAAGATTTTTGGCACGTTTTAGTGCCACTTTCTAAGAATTTATTGGCTGTTTGATTTAATAATCTTTTTAAATTTTTTCTGTAGCGGTGTAAAGTTCCGTCCGCGCGCGAACCTAAAGTTCTGAACGCGATGGCGACGATTGTAAACAAACTGCGCCAGCATATCACGAATGAAGTACCAAAAATATTTGATGCCGTATTTGAATGCACGCTGGACATGATCAATAAGAATTTCGAAGATTTTCCGCAGCATCGATTCAGTTTCTATGAGCTGCTGCAAGCGGTTAACGCGCATTGCTTCAAGGCGTTCCTCAATATACCGCCGGCACAGTTTAAATTGGTATTCGACTCTGTGGTATGGGCCTTCAAGCACACAATGCGCAATGTCGCCGACATGGGTTTGAATATACTCTACAAGGTAAGTGAAACATTTTGCGAGAGTTGCAAGTGATTTAATCATAATATTATTATATAACAGATGCTGCAGAACCTTGAACAACATCCGAATGCGGCGCAGAGTTTCTATCAGACCTACTTTACGGATATCCTGATGCAAATCTTTTCAGTTGTCACTGACACTTCCCATACAGCGGGCCTGCCTAACCATGCTATAATATTGGCTTATATGTTTTCGTTGGTGGAAAATAGAAAAATAACGGTTGATTTGGGCCCCATACCGGACAATATGATATTCATACAGGAATATGTGGCCTCATTGCTAAAGTCGGCATTTAATCATTTATCAGATAATCAGATCAAAGTCTTTGTTACGGGCCTTTTCAATTTGGACGAGAATGTACAAGCATTTAAGGAGCACTTGAGAGACTTTCTAATACAAATTCGCGTAAGTAAACTAGCCAACTGCAAGAGATGCACTCCAATTTTGACCAAATTCCCTATATCAATTATATATATATATATATATACGCTTTTCAGGAGGCGACCGGCGAGGATGATTCGGATTTGTATCTGGAGGAGCGTGAAGCAGCATTGGCCGAGGAGCAGTCCAATAAGCGTCAAATGCAACGTAATATTCCGGGCATGTTGAATCCACACGAATTGCCAGAGGATATGCAGGATGAATAAAATATGCCGTGTGTTAGTTGAAGCTTGAGAATGCTGATGATGATCATGATGATTGATGGTTGATGATTGATGATTGATGATTGAATATGATGTATGAGTGTTTTCTCGTTTGGAGAAAAAGTATAAATGTTTGTTTGATTGATGAATGCATATGAGTATAAACGTTATATATATATACAAACACACACCACACACACACACACACACACACACCTGCACACACACACACACCCGCACACACATACGCGTCTACATGCTGACAGTTGGGTTTCTGTTGAATAAAGTTAAATGATACGAGAATATAAAGCGGTTAATGTGCGCAATTGCATACCTTAATATGATTAACATATTTTAGCGTACTTGCCGCCAGCCGAACCGACAACAAAACCACGCGCACTCCCTAACCCCAAACTTAGCTGATAAAACATCGTCGTCTACATTAAAAAGCAAACGAAAGATGAAAACTTTATACATACATAATTACTAAATACATATAATAATAATAATAATAATAATGTTTGTTTGAAATTTTTAAATGAGTATAATTGTAGAAATATTGTGTGTGAATGAAAACGAGCGAACAACACATGCCCCCACATACTCCTTTCCACATTCAAACGAAAGGAACAAATAATATTAAAGTAAAGTTAATTGTAGTTCGCCCACAACACATCAAGTATATGATTAATGAGTAATTGATTCTATGTATACACTTGCATAAACCCAATCAAATAATTATGTACATGTATGTAATGTGCGTCAAATAAACATACACACAACAACAACACACTCACTTGCAACAAAACAAAAAAAATAAAAAAAACAAAAAACAAAAAAAAAACCAGCTCCATAGAAATTTGTATGCGTATGATTGATGATTGATGAAGATGTTTAAATTTTTACATTTAAATTAGTTTGTACAATAATTTAAATAAAAATCAATTAAAAACACAAAGATCATATCTCTATGTACGAATGTGTGTGTGTTTGGCGGGGACCGGAGAGAATGATTATTGAAGCAGATATTTGACTAGAAATCAGGATCAGAGCATTTTGCAATTGAATTTGAATAGAACACTTATCTTATTTGTTTAGCTTTTTTTTCTCACATTTATTACATAGTTTAAAGGCTCCAAACTAATATTTAAACAATGTGACTAAAATTGTTTTTTATTTTAACTAAAAAAAAAAAAGAAAAAGGTAAAGATTAATTTTTTTATATTTATAACACAAGAATTATAATTATTTTTATAAATAAAACGCAAAACTGAAGCTTACATTTTATTGTTAACAGTTTTCTCAAACATTTACTGCTCGATCTGAATCATTATGGTCTCTGCTTAGGGGGGAGGAGCTTGGGTTTATTTGTATATCATTGCAGCTCTATGTCAGAAGCTTTACGGGTAATCGACAATTGTGCAGAAATTGTGTTTCTTTCGCATAGGAGCTCCATTTGATGTATATATCATTCGAAATGAGCCACGTGTTTCCCATTGGCTTTGTGGGATACATCTTGGTCAGGTTGCTGAATGGCAGCTCGATCTCGTTGGCCACCCGCTGCTTGAAGTCGGTGGCGTTGAACGGCCTGTGCGTTTGCATTGCCCGCGTCACGGCGTCCAGAAACATTGCCCAACGTGGCTGGTAATAGTCGCACATCAGGCCCGACCATTGTTTCGTTGCATAATCGAGAATCTGACCGTTGGGACCCCACGATGTGAGCTGATTGCGCGCATTAAACTCGTAGAGTGGACGCAGTTTATCGCTGGGCGCCAATTTCTTGGCGGCCTCCAGCCAAGTGCCCAATAAATAGTGTACGCCACTTGCCAGTATACGCTCCATATCGTCGAGTAGTTCCAGCAGCTTGCCAGCCAAATACTCGAGACGATTTAGCTGCTCCTTGCGATACGCTGACCTCAGGTTGACGTAAATCTGATCGAAGCTCTGTTGCAGGAACTGGCGCGTTATGTCCACCAGGTCGTGCTCATAGATGGCATACCTGTCATCCGTTAGAGGCACCATTTCCCTGGACGCCAGCAACAGCTGCCAGGCGTCAGTGACACTGGAGCCATTGTACCAGGTCCACGGATTCAAGTTTAGTCCTGGCCTCCTGTTCAAGGCATATTTTCCACGCATGCGTTGCAGGCCATGGAAGGAGTAAACGCCGCCGCGCAACAGCTGCCAAGCCTGGGCCAAACGTGTATCGTTAACGCCATAGCGAGTCAGAGCGAAGTGATCGAACCAGTCGCCAAGTTGCAGCTCCGACGCGCTCCAGCCCTGCTCAAGGGTGAGTGCGAATATGGCATAGTTCTGGCCAATGCCCTCGGGTGTGATGCCTACGCCCACCAAGCTGCTATTGGGCATAATGCGTGCCGATGCAATTCCACTGCCAATGAACTGGGCGGATCCGAAGAGACCCAGCGTACCGCCGAAATTGTTCAGCATGCACCACACAAACGGTTGGCCGTAGTAGGAATGGGTGCGCTGGTATTGCGGAAACTGTTCGCTTTGTAAGTCGAGCACTAGGATGCGACCACGCGGCACGGCTGTGAGAAAGGCCTCTATAAGCTCATCTGTCCAAAAGATATCCTTCAGAAACATCCAACCCTGCAGCAACCAGACGGCATTCCCATCCACCTCTCGCATCGAGTTATAAATTGCCTTGGCTGTCGAACGCATATATCCCGGCTCAGCTAGCGGTGGCTGCATCTCGTTAAAAGGATCACTGAAATAGATGTGATTGGAGCCATAGACTTGGATGACACGCCGCAGGAACATGGCGCCCAACTGCTGAAAAAGCGGATCGTGTGGCTCCACAAACAGGTCGCAACAATACTGATCAGGAAAGTTATTCCAGCGCTCGGCAGGCGTATAGTTGGCATTGGGAAAGACCCGTCGCATGGCCGTAGGCACATGTCCGGCAAATGCTGGCAGAGCGACGCTCATGCCCAGTTCGCGTTGTGCACGCACAATGAGTTGTTGCAGCAGCTGCTGGAGACGCCTGTGTGCGGGTGGCAGTGGACCAGCCCAGCCACGAATGTTGCCCATGCGCTGCCAGGCCTGGAACGCCGGACCGGCAAAGTGTGCGTCTATTTCGTTCGCATTGAGGCCCAGCTCTGTGTACACAGCCTGCCAGATGGCCTCCTGGTTGGGCGCTATCACAAGATTAATGCCCATCATCGCCATCCAATCGATGTGTGCACGCCACTCCTCAAAGCTCCACCACACATAGCTGTAGCTCCAGGTGCACACATTCTGGTAGTAAATAATGGAACTGGCCGACTTGGAGGTGAGTGTCACGTTCGGCAGTTGCAATTGCTCGGAGAGCTCGATGCGTGTCTTGAACCAGTCCAAATCCTGATTGAGCACATATTTTAGATAGTAATGAAAGCCCTTGCACACCGAGACGCCATCCCATCCGGCTATTAACACCTTGCCATTGTCCAATCGACTGATCTGTAATTAAAAATCATTAAAAAATTGATCTTCTCTGTTTTGATTCAACTATTATCTGGTATATTGGTCACCTGATAGCTGCTTGTTTCGAGCAGCTTGTTCACTTCCACCTGGAATAAATTGGATGCTCGCAGCCCGATCACACGTTGCATGAGCTGCCGCACGGCTGCTTCCTGCACGTCCGGCGTGGTTTCAGGCGTCAAACGTGCCACCAGCTCCGGCCCGAGCTGGCAATGACCGAAGCTCAATTTGTGCACGAAGGTCAAGACCAAGAGCAAGAGAACACTGACACGCCCGACCATGACGCTCAATGTCAACAGCTCGAGTCGCACTGGACGCGGGCTGTGTCGTGCGCTCCAGTTGTTGATAATAAACGTGAGATCTTTCTCTTCCCTGCTCTCTCAGTGTCGAAATGCACGCTGGCGCTCTATTTAAATATAGTTTGTTTCTTATCAGCAAATGCGCTCCAGTCGAGCGTACAGGTGGGCCCAGCACAAGCACATCAATTTAATTACTCATGTCCGTAAAGTCTAAAGATTTTTCGTCAAGTCAATTGGCTCGTTCACAATATTCACCACTTGCGTTTAAAACGGTAAACACAACACACACTGGCGTCAATTGTAAATTTATCGCTGAGTGTGTGCACACTGGACAGACTTGAGTGCATTTTTCTTACTCGATAGATTTAATCGGATGTTGGAAGATGGAGCCGATATTTGAAACAGATTTCACAGCTTGGCGGGAGGCAAAAGGCACTGATCGATTCGAGCTGATAATAAAACAAATTTAATTATAAGTATTCTTCTAGATGCCATATACGTAAATATCGTATCGTAAAGCTGACATAGGAAGGATCTGGACATCAACCTAGTTTCATACAACAACAATATGATTCTAGGCTATAATTTTGTTACCATTTTTATTGCACATCTTCGACTTAAGCACTAACAACAAATACAAATATCATTGCAATATTCTGCGCTTCGACTATGTACATTTTTATGTATAAATAAAGATACATGTGCTGGATTCTTGATGCCATACATCATGTACATAAGTATGAGTACATATTTTTTCATTTCCAAGTATTTTGGATAACAATTAAGCAATATAAAAATAAGAATTACAGAATTAAGCTGGCAACAAATTAAATCAAAAAGCACTGGGCCTACTTTTTTCGCAAATATTAACAAGAAAACGATGTACATTTGAATAAACACTATTTGGTTAACTTAACAACCAACGAGTACATCATGTATGTATGTAATTTATACAATTTAAAAGCCTTTCGTGTTGCATTTTCACAATAAAAAAACATTAATTTGCACAACATTCTAAAAAACGACTAGCACTAAACAGCCCTGTGTGTGTGTGTGTAAAAATACTTAAATATATCTATGCATGTGCACAATTAAATATAAATATTAATATTAATATAACTATAAATATGTATATATATATATATAGTATGCGTTTGCGTAAGTACATAAATTGAAACAACCTGATTGCGATTTGTGGCTGGCTTTGGTTGTGTTTAGGCTCGAGGCAAATAGCTGCGGGGCGTTCCATTGCCATTTGCCAAGGCCAACCTAACGAATAAGTTAAACATATGTTATCCTTTTTTTTGCTTGTGGTAAATTCGTTGTGCTGCCTTTTCCAATTCTTACGCGGCTCCTCCTCACATTCGGCTCCCGATCCTCACCTCGTTCGACTCTCGATCCTCCTCACATTCGACTCTCGATCCTCCTCACATTCGACTCTCGATCCTCTCCTCGTTCGAGTCTCGATCCTCCTCACATTCGACTCTCGCATCACCTCACACCTCTCCTCGTTCGACTCTCGATCCTCCTCACGTTCGACTCTCGATCCTCACCTTGTTCGACTCTCGATCCTCCTCACATTCGGCTCCCGATCCTCACCTTGTTCGACTCTCGATCCTCCTCACATTCGGCTCCCGATCCTCACCTTGTTCGACTCTCGATCCTCCTCACATTCGGCTCCCGATCCTCACCTTGTTCGACTCTCGATCCTCCTCACATTCGGCTCCCCATCCTCTCCTTGTTCGACTCTCGCTTCTCCTCACATTCAACTAACGCATCACCTCACATTCGACTATCGATCCTCTCCTCGCTCGACTCTCGATCCTCCTCACGTTCGACTCTCGATCCTCTCCTCGTTAGACTCTTGCTCCTCCTTACGACCCTTGTTCCTCTCTTCGTTCGTTTTCTACTCGCTAATTGAGTAGGCTTTTCGCACACATTTGCCATGCCGCGTGATGCGCTGATCACCATCCTCGTGTGCATGGTCCTGGCAGCCTCCCGGCGCCTCCGCATCGTGGGCAGGTGCTGTTGAGGACTTGTTTAAAGCGTAGGTGCGTATAAAATCAATGGTGGAGTAGCCTTGGCTGGCCACAGTTTCCGCAGCTGGTGCAGCACCGGCTGCCGTTGCCCCAGCATTTGAGTTTCTCTTCTGTGCTGATGCCGCAGCTTCGGATGCTTTCTTTCCTTCCGGCGTTTGTGGCGCAGCAGCTGTCAGGGACAGACCGCTGCCAAAGCCGTTTGTCATCGTCTTGGGCGAGCACTGTGCCGGACTACGCGGCTGATCCAGGTCGAGCACTATGTAGTTAACACCAGCTGGGCTGGTCGGCGTCACCGGCGCCGGCTGCTGTTGCTGCTGTTGCGACGCAGCGGCCACCGAATGCTGCGAGCAGTCGCGTGGCAGAGGGGGCAGGTCCAGGCGACTTATGTTCTCATAGCAACGATCGTTGCAGCCAGCAGAGGCGAGCGGCATATCGAACAGGAGCCGCTCCCGCGACGTCTCCACATTGGCATACAAACGCAGCGTTTCGTTGAGCGCCGGAGCAGATTCTTGCGGCGGTATATCACCCAAATGCTGCTGGCGGCGCATAGTGCTGAATGCGCTATTTGTGGATGTGGGCGTGGTCTCCGGTGGTGAACTGCAGCGCTGCATCGGCTGATCGAAGTAAACATTGCCATTGGTAGTGATGTAGGCGCCGGGTGTGATTGGAGACTGCAAAGCGCCATGGTTGGCGGCTGCGCCCTGCTCAGCGACGATGAGCTGCAGATTTGGCAAGGATTCGGGTGAATCGGATGTCAATGCAATTGACTCGTTCGGCTGCTGCTGCACCTGGAGCGCAGTACGTGCCAGCATTGGTGCCGGCTCCAGATAATTGTTGCTATGCGGCTGAAGATCGCTGCGGCCCAAAAGCACCGACACCGAATTCGTGGAGTTGACGCGTTCGCGTTCCCGCTCACCTTGTGCAAAGGCGTCGGTGTTCACGGCATTTATATAGCGCTGGAACATCGGATAGAGCTGCTCCGCATGGTGTATGCGGAACGTGTAGATGCCCGGGCCAGACATGCAGCGGCGTCCCGCCTCGAACGAGAACATATCGCCATTAAGTCCATAGCGCCGCAGGTGCTGCAGCGCCCATACAATAGGTTGACAGCCAGGCGTCATGAAGATCAATTCGCGCGGCGTCAATTCCAAGTAACCGCTGCGTATGATGTGCGCCTCGGGTCCGCTGGGCTGCAAATGGGCTACGTGCACCCGAAACACGTTCTCCTGCCGCAATTCACTCAGTTTATTGGTGCTAGTGATGCAGCCCATTATGTGCTGCAACAACAACAAATTGTATATTCATTCAGCAGAAGCTCAGGTAATCACTTGCCACATACCTTTAATACCCTTGTTTTACTTGCCTATGGAGGCAAAACTGTTATCTATAGCATGGAAACGGCGTATGGGAATAAAAGACGTCACAGCCACTAGCGAATGTGGCCCTCTATTTACGACCAGTCCTCCATGTGTTGTCACGTTTACTCCATAACAATTAACTGGATCTCAGCCTATTATTAACTAAATTCCTCTTTTGGCAACACTTTGGTTTTTTTTTTTTGTTTTTTTTTTTTTGCTGATGCTGTTTCTTTGCCCGTCTGTTAAGTTAACATGCGAATAACATGTTATTAACAGTGAGCACGAATTTTGTTCTGTTATCTCGATTGCTAACTTCTATTTGTTGCTTTAATAAATAGATATTTTAACAATTTGTCTTATCAAAACAGTAACAAAATTAAACGAACAACCGATTCAGGCTCATCCTTAAGGATTTAAAACTTAACAGCGCTTAACTGGTACCTAATCACAACCTTAACAGATGCATAACAGATACGGCTGCCTCAAAAAATCTATCGAAATGCATAAATTTAAATGCGTTGCAAAGAATACGAAAAATATGTTAGGTTTTTAATATATTTATATATTTTTTACATTGTTATTGTCATTGAGTGAGGTATAACTATCAGTCGCACTTTATACAATTTTAGCGAGTATTTTTTGAAAATGATTTTGGGCTCTTACAGATGAACAGTTATTTGCCCATATTGCATGCATGTAAAACAACAGTAAATACAAATTAAATGAAGAACGAATTATAAGATGAGATAGGAGTATAAGTATAAGATGCACTTCGCAATATAATTATTCTATTCTTTTTTATTGTGAATCCAGTTAATGCAAACATAATAATTTCACAATTTACGAAACATAATTAACATGGAAATGCATAATTAGGCTAATGCGATCATCGATATCTTCACCTCGTGCACCTGGAATTAGACTTAAAAACTTAAGCAACACAACAAAACATATCCAATAAAGGAACATATAACCAATTCACCCGCCCGTGGTTCCACTCAGATATATATCCATTACGTCCTTGTTCAAGTGCACGAACTGGCGACGCTTGGGTATGGGTTGAATGTTCGGTAGCCGTGTGCCATTCACGGCATTCAGACTTAAAAGTGGCTCCTCGTCATCGTCGATGGCGTCGTCGTCATTGTCCGGTGTCCGTTGCTCCACACGCTTTCGCTTGGTAGTGTTGCTTGGGGTGGGCTGGTTGTCGCTTATTGTGGATTTGCTTGAATTCTCGGATGTTGTGGAATACGCAGATACCGCACTCGAGCTCTGTGAATGCACCTGCTGACTAGAACTCACATCAGAAATGGAGTTTGTGTTGCCCGCTGCACGTTTTTTTCCCTTCTGCAGTTGTATGGCATGTCGCAGCTTGACACGGTAGATTTTCACCAGCGTATCATAACAACTTCCACAGAGGAGAGTTGTGCTCCGCAATTCCGGGTTAATATGCTTGGCGAAGCTAAGTATTTTCTCATCGCTAATTGTCTTGTGAGGCGTACGAAGATGATGATTGCCTAGGCCGCAGTAGCGTTTGCGTGTCGTAGGCGATGTTGATTTTGGTGTTGGCGGCATCTTGAAGTATCAAATATAAGTCTTGTATGTTGTGTTTTAGACACATTTAAAATACTTTTATGCCAGTGCTTGCTTTGCTGTTATTTCCCGCCGAAGCTGTGACAGCTTCTTTTATTATGTACGACCTTTTACAGACAATGCGAAAATATCTCAAAATTCCATAAAAAATACCTAAAATAAACCAAAAATACTGAAATTGCCGTGACAGGATGGCGTTGTTGAAATCAGAGGACGCCGCCGCAAGTGTAGGAAGCGACTCCATCGATATATTGAACAATTTGCTTAAGCTATCGACAATATTCATACATCGATATTTCTTATAAATGCGAACTTTAGAAGTGAAAGTTAGCAGGTATATTTCATAAAAATGCTGTTTTACTTGCATCATAATAAGATACAGAGTATTATTTCAAAGTATTGTTTCTTTTCAACTTTTTCCCTATTTTATAGGTTGCAGGAACTGAATTTGTCTCTAGTTTGAATTATGCAGCGGTCAAACGGTCCTATCCCATCTTTTTCTAGAAACGCTCAAACTATCGATAAGTATTAGGCCTTAGCTACTTTCAGGGAATGAAAATGAAAAAAAATGTGCCCAATCGTTCACACACATACTCTGCTTCAACGCATTCGGTTTGTTTGACAGATATACGAGAGACAGAAAGTAGTTAAGAAAGAAAGAACTACGGTTTATATTTGAAAAATCAGAATATAAGAATAAAGTGCGTGTGCGTAATATAAGTAACGAGCCAGGTAAATGCTAATTACAATATTCATTTCATTCATAAAAAAATTCGAAAAGCGCAAAAAAATGGCAATCACGAAATTTGAAAAACCAAGCCAAGCTGTCTGAGTGCCTTTGTGTGTGTAAGTGCTTGTAGTTGAAATTCTGTATAACGCTTTGTATATGTACGTTTGGAGTTTTAATAGTGTGTGAATGCGAGTGTAGGACGAGACTTTGTGAATTATGACTTTTAATTGTTGATAAATGTATGCGTTATTATAATTCATATACACCGAGTGCAAAGATCCTTGTATCTTATAAAAATGCTGTATATATTATTGGTATAAGTGCCGCATACAGCCTAGGCATACATATTTCAAAAAGGACGCCACGCTCTTGCCTGTGTGTGCGTGTATGTGGGCTGGGCGCGTTGACAGGAAATTCGCTAAATAAATGAGCAAATTTCACGAATAATGCTTTAAAAATGCATATATATCTGGCCGGCTATATATTGTAATGAAGCTAAATCGCACCCCCTAAAACTACTCCTCGCTGTTAATAGTTTTTAGCGTTGTTTGCAGCCTTTTTCTCAATTTTGGGTGTGCCGCCTGCAGTTGCGTCGGCGTTGCCACTACGTCGCCGCTGTCGGCGTCGCTGCCGGTGGCTTTGTATCCGTTTGACTCTCTCTCTCTCTGTCTCTCCCTCTCTTTCCTTTTGTATGCCTGTCTCTCTTGCTCTCTATTCCCTGCCTGCTGCTCTGCGTTGCTTATCAACATTCTTTCCCTTGCGTGCCTCATTTATCCTTTTTTACGCTTTGTGCTGTCACTCGTACACTCCTTGCTTCTTGTCGCTTCTTTCTTTGTAAATGCGTGTATATGCATGCACATGCATGTTTATTGTGTGAGTAAGAGTACGAATGTGCGTGTGTGTGTTGTCTGCGGCTGTTGCCTTGTTCGTTCAAGTTGCCTGACTTGACTTATTTTTCATTGTCGTTGTCTTGTCTTTGTTTAAGCATTCTGCGCCTGATTACACTTGCCAGCACTTTTGAACTTGGACTTGTACGCTAAAGATATCCTTGCCTAATGATCACAGTTTATTACACTAAGTGGCTTTTACTTTCATCCAGTTTTTTCGGTAGAAGCTTAAGCCGAGGATCATTTCAATTCTCAATTCAAATAGTGGACAGCAGAGAGAGAGAGAAGCAAAAAACACCTACCTCTGTTATAAAAATATTGCGTCGCAAGTTTGCAGTCAGTGAAGCAACAAAATACACGAGAGTAGTTAGCCTGCTGCCAGGCAGCAGCCAGCCACCGCCCTAACTGGCGTTGCTGCTTATGTTGTGTCTGTCTGTGTGTTTGTGCGCGTGTGTCTGCCTGTGTGTGTGTGTGTGTGTGTATGTGCATGTGTATGCACTCATTGCGGTGAAAACTCTTCTGCCAGAGTGCATTTGCCGATATTACCAATGCAATTCAACTAGATTCAAAAGTAACGTGATTGATATTTACTATTTTAAATTTAATAACATATAATTTGAGAATGCTTTTAATTTTTATTTAATTTAACAGTTAAATAGTATTCGTTATAAAAGTGTTCGCAGTATATCCGTCCTTTATGTTTGTCTGGCATTCTAAGTCGCATTTTAGCTTAGCTCGGGGCTGGATTGAAGTCGCTTCAAATTACATACATACGTTTGTGGATGGAGGGGGGGAGAATGTGTAGTGTTTGTCACTCGCTTGATATTGTTTTTGTTATTGAGGGATCTGAACGACTGTTGCCGACTGTGGTTGCCATAAAGGCAAACAATTTTGTGGCTTATATTTGCAATACCGTTACGTACTCTCTGCCAAGTGCAACTTGCGGTTGGGCGTGGTGATTTGTATGCTGTTGGGCAATCTCGAGTATCTTGATCCAAAACTAAATATAATCGTCAGAAAGAAGCATAATCTTTCTAACTCAATTCAGAAGTCGTTAAAATGCCTCAAGCTGTCTGGCAGCTGGTGGTCTGCCTTTTATTTAACAGCCACTTAAGAAAATATATGTATGTATGTACATACAACATATTTGGAATTCGCTTTTTCGAACTATAAATACATACATACATAAAAAAAAATATGAAATTAGGATTTAATGTGTCTAGGAAAGTGACTTATTTTCAAAATTGATATTTTCTGATATTCCAATCAGTTGCACTATCTATCGTAACGGGGCGACCACATTTTCACTCAAGTGTACAGGGTTTTCATACAATAACAAGAAAAGTGCCTGCCTGCCTGCCTGCCTTTCTCAAACAACGCAATTTGTGCCGATCCGGCAGCATTGCTTCAAAGCCGCGGCCGCTTATCTGCGAACAGCCGGCCGGCCCGACCTGACGTCGGCTGCGTCGCCGTCTCTTGTTTCGTGTGCTGCTCATCTTATTGCTTTGTTTGTTGTTATTGCTGCGGATTGATTTTTTGCTTTGCCTACGAATATTTTTGAATATGGCATACAGTATGTCAATAAAGTGTTTTTACTAACAAAAAAAAACTAATTTTTTGGGTTTAGTTGAAAATAAATGTACCTAAAAGTGAGAATTTTTTTTCAATTATAATTTATTTCGATTCTATATTTCTCCTAGAACTTAATGGCAAAAAGAATTGTTAAATAACATTACCCAAACATTTTATAAAATTAAAAAACTAAAAACATTCACATTTTATGCTGTCAATAAAGTGTTTTTACAGCTACGGTAAATTGTTTTGCCGTTCTCTTTTGGGTGATCCCGTTAGATTTGGGCCCATGCGTTTTGGCTTCTCTTGTGTCTTCGACTTTTCTTGTCATTTTCTATTGCAATTTATAACGTTTTGCTTTAATTTTATGAAAAATAAAATGCCAGGAAAAAGAACAACTTTTGAAGTCGCTCAGCTGGTGTATTATAACCATCAGATGGGACGTCAAGTCTCGGAACTGGCTGATATGTTTAATTTATCAAAAGCAACGATATACAACATATTAAACAGAGCCAATAAGGAAGATAGGCTAGAGGCAAAGCCAGTATGTGGTCGACCCTGCAAAATTTCTGACAGAGATAAGCGAAAAATTCTGAGAAAAATTGAGAAAAATCCACAAATTTCGCTTAGGGATATTGCTCAGGAGTTCAAGGAAGAAAGTGGTGTTGATGTGTTACATGAAACTGTCCGAAAATTACTGAATTCCAATGACTACACATCACGAGTTGCCAGGAAAAAACCTCTACTATCGGCGGCGAATATTTTGAAGCGGCTATCGTTCGCTCAAGTCCATGTAAATAGTTCGAACGATTTTTGGAGTAACGTCATATTCTGTGACGAAAGCAAGATGATGCTATTCTACAACGATGGGCCATCCAGAGTCTGGAGAAAGCCACTAACAGCGTTGGAAAACCGCAATATTATTCCAACCGTTAAATTCGGAAAACTATCAGTGATGGTGTGGGGGTGTATTTCGAGCAAGGGTGTAGGAGATTTGACCTTCATTGAGAATACCATGGATGCTAGACAATATCTGAGCATTTTACAGACACATCTCGTCAGTAGTGCACAGAAATTTGGATTCTATGAGGACAATAAGCCAATTTTTAAATTTTACCAGGACAATGACCCGAAGCATAAAGCTCATATGGTAAGAGTTTGGCTGTTGTACAACTGTGGAAAGGTGTTAGACACTCCACCACAAAGTCCAGATATGAATCCAATAGAAAATGTGTGGTCATATTTGAAAAAAAAAGTCGCAAAGCGGAGTCCAAAATCAAAAACTGATTTAAAAGCTGCTGTACTGGAAGAATGGCAGAAGATTCCAGAAACATACATACAAAACCTTATTGTTTCAATGAAACGGCGATTGCAGGCTGTATGTGACGCTAATGGCAGCCACACAAAGTATTAAAAAAAAATATTCCTGTTTTTTTAACATTGTTATTTAGTAATAAAGTTTCGTGTAAAAACACTTTATTGACAGCATAAAATTTGAATGTTTTTAGTTTTTTAATTTTATAAAATGTTTGGGTAATGTTATTTAACAATTCTTTTTGCCATTAAGTTCTAGGAAAAATATAGAATCGAAATAAATTAGAATTGAAAAAAAATTCTCACTTTTAGGTACATTTATTTTCAACTAAACCCAAAAAATTAGTTTTTTTTTGTTAGTAAAAACACTTTATTGACATACTGTATTTATTTTTCATATAAAAGGCTGCTGCTTTTGTGTTTTTTTTTTTATTTTTGTTTTTGGTGAATTGGCATTTATAACAATTTAAATTGCGCGCCACCGATCACTATAAATAAACAAACACTTGGGCACATGTATACATAACTGTAAATAGGTATATACTCTATGTACGTAGGATAAAAAACTACTTGGCAATAGTATTTCAAGTGGTAAGGTTGGGCTTTTGTACCGGTTGGGGTTGGGAGGAGGCGGTAAAATATGCTGGCTTGCTGAATAAATACAAGAATATTGAAAGTAACAAACCGCAACACACCCACATATACATAAATACACACATACATATGCCTGTATGTGTATGAATAAAAGAGAAAATGGCAATGGCGGCTGTTCAGGAGAAAATAGAGTGAATGCGCGCAGCTCAAGAACATCTTTTACGCACATGTTGATCATGAGTGCGTCTGTGTGTGTGTGTGTGTGCGTGCATGTGTTGGTGGGGGCACTGACAAGGCATGTCAACACTTTGGCATTGGAAACCTAAAAATATTTGTTGTTTTTTTTTTTAAGCATGCAGTCATATGCAGTTATCAATAACAGTCGCCGAATTCGAAGTCGTTTCAATTAAATGATAAACGTTTCGATAATCAGCTTAAATTTCAGCAAATTAACAGACACTATTCAACACAAAAGTTACCAAGTATATCACTTGGACTGAATTCTTGCGCCCTCTCTTTTATTGCAGTGCTATTGTTTATTTAAAGCTCGTACTGCAACAGCGCCCGCTTGCTGCCATGTGGGGTCATTGTGTGAAGTATGAATGGCAAAATAAAGCAATAAAGTGTGCATGTGTATGGATGTATGCATGTGTGTGTGTGTGTGTGTGTGTGTGTGTCGTTGCCGCCGTCAAGGCTCATTAGTTTTGTTATTGACTCCTTACGCATTGCACGCATACAGCAGCAGCAACAGCAGCAGAAGCAGCAGCAGAAAAACAACAACAAAAAGAAACAAAAAAAAAAATATCACTATCGCTTTTATCGATAGCTGCTGCTGATGGTCACTTAATGCAATATTGTTGCCTCTGGAGCCCGCATTTCAGCTGTTTACGCCTCTCCCGACGTTTCCGGCCTTTCTCTCTTTGTCTACTGTTCTGTTTCTGGCTCTGCTTACACTGCAAGCGCCCGAAGAAGAAGTTTCTTTTCTGCTGCCTTCTGTTGCTTCTGTTTCGTCGCTGATCGCAAGTCTGGCGGCAGCAGCAGTCGTTGTTTGTTATTTAAGCTGAACGGTTTAGTGTTCGGTTCTTGTGCGTCGGCTTTTTCAGAACATTACGAATCGGGCAATTCCTCTGGCAGTGCATTCATTGTGTGTGTATATGTGTGTTGACGAAAGTGCTTCAACCGTTATTAACTGTTTAATTAAAAGCTCTTCTGCTCATTGTGCCAAACAATTGCAAGAAATATCTCTGCTCTTCTCTATTCGCAATTCAGTGGCCACCCGCGCAGCTGACGCGACACACGACAAAGAGTAAGTACCGGAAGTATGTAAGCACAGAAGCAGCAGCAGCAGCAGGGCGTCGATTTTCGTCATTCGTCGTTTTGTCTTATGAATTATTTATTGTTGTATTAAAATGCCGTTTACAATACCAAAGTGGTCCGGTCCGGACAGAGCGTGCAGCGCGTTGAATTTCTAATCAGAATACCGACAGCGCGCGCCACTTGTGACAACTCATTCATTCTAGGTAAAAATCAAGCACCCAAACGGCCCACCACCAACATGGGTGACTAATTGATATTCGCCTTTGTTTCTACTACTTTTATAACAACTTCTTTTTATTAAACTACTCGCACACACACACACACACAATCGTACTCCTTAATTAGCCGCAAAATCCAAAGACCCCGAAACAGGGGAAGAGAACAAGAATGGCACCAACAACCGGTTCCACCAGCAGCCGCAGCCCACTTCTTTTTTTTTTTTTTTTGCTAGCTACGCTTTCTACTTGCATCCGCATCCTTCGACAATATTGCAAGTTTTGACTGTGTGCGTGTTTCAAGTTTTTGACTACAGTTGCAAAAGCGACTTTCAGTGTTGCCAGAATTTTATGATTTGCGTTAAATGAACTGAATTTTAATGAATTGCATAGTTTTGGTTAATTGTATTGTAAAACAATATTCAGTTAAACGAATTTTTAATATCTTCAGATCAAAATTCAAATAGAGCTAAAAAAAAAATAGTCAGTTTATTGGCTTTTAAAATATTTCCTAGTTTCCGCCAAATCTGGCAATATAATAGCTAAACAGGGCAACACTGCCTGCTCTTGGTTAATGGGATGTGGAAAAAGTGTGCTCAAAAGTAAACATTCATGCAAAATTATTTAAATTCTTAAAAGTTATCTAAAATATTTAATTTAAATTTTATAATTGTTTTAATATTGATGTGCCTGGCTGATACCTTTGGCTTATATACTGTGGAAACAGATATGGAATTTTCGAGATAACAAGTTCTGGAACTTGAAGATTTACTTAAATCTGATTTTTTTATCTACGACTACGTTTTGTGTTATCGCAACAAGCACACACGCCCGCAAAATGATGATAAGTCAACGTATGCATATTGTTTGCCAAGATCAGTTTCTTTTTAGCTTATCATTTGATATGCTGCTGTCACTAAGTCGCAGATATCTCGACTTAAACGCAGTTATGTATTTGCATACATGTACGCGAAAAATGGGATTGTGTATTTGGGGTCACGTAGCGCCCACTCTGTGTTATATGCTAGATTGGATTCAAGTGAAAAATGTTAAGAAGTTAAACCGTCATTTCTATTGTTAAGCGACGACTCTGAATCACATACAATTACCACATGCAATGCAATTGATAGGAAGTTTCTTTGTGCCTCGGTTTTTATTCGTTTATCAATTGAGTGTGCGTTGGCTTGCCTTGGGTTGTTGTTCTTTTTGTTGCCTTCTAGAGACACTTCCTCTCTATTACTGTATTTTCTTTTTATAAATTTATTTATATATATATATATATTTCATTTTATCATTCGTCTGGGGGGTTCTCTTCGATAGCAAAGTATCTGAGACTACCGTTATGGTAATGCATATGTGTATGTGTATGTATGTTTATATTTGGGCTATGCTCGTTGAGTACAATAACGGTACATATCAATAATTGTGAAGAATTCAGTCGGCTTCGCTCAGATATACATACTTCACCACAATGCCGGATCATCATCGTTCGTCAAAAGCTGACCGGAAATGATAATTGAAAAATGTTTTCTTCGTTTTGTCATTTGTATGTGGTATATGAGAGTTTTCAGTTTGTAACTAATTATGGCACTTATTTTATGTATCCTTTTCATATTGTCGCAGCCCATACGAAAACTACAACTACCAAAACAACAACAACAACAACAACGGCAACAGCAACAACACTGCGCTAACCAATTATATCCGGTTATTTGAGGCATTCTCTGAGACGCGCTCATTTGAAGCGACTGTTATTGTTCTTGTTCTTGCTGTTCGTTTTCTTGTTGCCGTTGTCTGCATTTCGCACAAATTTTTTTCACAGTGCGCTTCCCCCTCAATTTCTGGACTGCTGACGCCTTTTGCTGCGTGGGCCACAAATATGTTGTTGTTGTTGTTGTTGTTACATATATTTCCTCTTGACAATTTGTGTTATGTGCATTTATTGTATTTAAGTGCATTTTCTATATATATTTAGGTCTATATGTACGTACATATATGTGTGCGATTTGTTGTTTTGTTTTGAGCTATATTTAGGCGTGGCTTATCAGTAGGAGCAATACAAATGGATGAGTCTCAAATAGCAAAGTAACAAATATGCCATGCTTGCACTTGGGTCTGTGAACATATGTTAAAGTGTGTGTGCGTATTTGCGTTTGTATTTAATTGTTGAGTCTACTGCACTTCGCTCCTTTTCTTATTACAATACTTATACATTACGTATATATGCGTGTATGTATGTATGTGTGTATTTGCACAAGCGACTGTCGCCGCCTGGCGGCTGATTGATGAAATTGGAAGGAAAGTGCCGAGATGATGCAGTCCTATGCAAGTATGTGTGCAATTGTGTGTGTGTGTGTGTGTTGAGACACGAAAAGGGAGGGTGTGGGCGTTCGTTTAGATTAGCTTATAAAAGTTCAATTACGTCTGCTTTGCGGTTTTAAGTACGCGCGCACTTACCAAGCTCTCAGCGCTATAAATGTTATAAATGCCCGACAATGCAACCCAACCAGAATCTGTGTATTGTACAGACATATTTATGTGAGTTTGTGTTTGTGTGGCATGACATGAAATTAATGTTTGTCCAGTTAGCCGGCCGGTCCTCATACACTAGCGCACGCATTCCTGCACAATCAATTTAATTTACGTATGGTCGGTCTCTGGTCTCAAAGCATGATCTTCTAGTAGCGGTGCGGGGGACGGAGCAGGAGCAGGCGTCAAATTGAAAGCGCAGCCGCAGCAGCAATACAACAGCTTAAAGTGTCAAAATTGATAGAGAGCAGACAATTGAGCACATCCACACACAAAAATACGTATGTGTATGCATGTATACATGTATGCATATACATATATACATTGCTCTTTGTGTAGCTGTTGTTGCATTTCGAACATGCTTCATTGTTGATAAATGCGCTTTTATTTATAGACGACAGCACTCTGTTCCCGAGCCTGCCTTGCGTCTGTGTGTATGTGTGTATGTGTGTGTGGTTGTGTGCGCTCTTTGCTTTCCTTTGTCCCTTCGTTTATAGATTTTCTTTTACTGAATGCAACACAAAGGCGCGACTTAAAAGTAAGAGGTGAGCGAGGCCAGCGGCATTTCTATTATTGCGTGTGTGTGTGTGTGCGACAAATAAAAGGTCAAGTTTAAATAAAATTAACTAAAAAAGAAATTTACACGAAATGTCTGGCGCGCACACAGCCTCTTAATAATGCCGACGCCGTCGAAATTGGTTAATTTTAATGGAACAACCAATTTTAGGCTGTCAATCAATGTGTTACGTACATACTTTTTACTCTGGCTATGCTAATCTTGTAAGCGCGCTTTTCCCCTCGCATTTTCTGCATGTCATGTCGTGCGCCGTCAGTCTGGCAACGCTGTCACATTTTTGGTGCCCGTTGTTGTTTTATGTGGGCTGCGGCGCCGCCCAAGTACTTTCACACGCCCCCCCCATTTGCCTCAGCGCTGTGACGTAGCGTCGACGCGAGCGTCAGCGTTAGCTTCGCCGCGCCGAGCCGTTGCCATGGCAACGACGGGCAATGACCGTCGACGTTGTTGCTGTACATTGCGTAAGTGTAGTAGTATTTGATGTCACAAGCATGCATGCAGTAGTAGTAGTAGTGGTAGTAGTAGTAGTAGTAGTAGTAGTAGAATTGAAATGCCGGCCGGCAACCCTCTGCGCACGCACAAGCTCGCTTTATCCTTGTTGCCTTGTCCTTTTCGACTTGCCGATGCGTCATGCCGCAATTTTACTTGCGCTTTTATTATATTGTTGTTGTTGTTGCCAGCTTTGGCTTAGTACTACGCGCACAGTTGGTTATTGTGCAGTCTATTTTGGTAAGGGTTGAGTTACGGCTACACCTGTGTTTACTTGCGTGTGTGTGTGTGTGTGTGCGTGTGTATGTGTCGGCATATTCTTGCGATTACTCATCAACATTTTTGCATGTATTCTGTTCGAAACGCTTGGATATTTAATTTGAAATTATACGATCAAATTAATTGCTGCCTCAAATTGTTGTTTTGTTTTATGCCTAGCGTCAAATTTGCTTCAGATACACTTACATCTACATACATATATATATTAATCTTCGGCTGGATCCAAAACATTTGTAGCAAAGTTGGCGTTCACTCGTCTTCGAGGTGTTCATTGATTTGAAATTGAGTTCATTGAACGAATCGATGAACACCCAATGAAATGTGATGTTAACTTCGAAAATGTTTCGTTTCGGTTTCCCTTCCGACACAATTCAATACAGTCAGCCCCCGCTGCCATGAACTGTGCGTGAATCTAATCAAATGTATTAAATTGAATACTTTTAATTCGCATTGATCTTAATATCGAATTTATCCCTAATATCGAATTTAAAGTTAGGCTAAAATAAAAAGTATCGTTATGATATTTTTATTGGCACGAATTCCAGAAGCAGCTGTTAACGCAGCTGTTCTAGTCTGACCGCGAATCAATACATCCAGAGGTAACTTGAACGCGAACAAAGACAGCTTCAAGCCTAGGTTCTCAGCAGCCGCTCCTCTATGCATGTACATGCGGTATTTTTTTTTTGCAACCCTTAAACACGAAGAAACTTCACTTTTTAATTTTTGTGCACCCCCCCTTTCGCCCGTCTCTTGCTACGTTTAAACTGTGCGGCTGGGTTTCTGTTTCATTTACCCAGTCGAGGCGTGTAATTCGATTTCGAAAGTGACGCATACTACGCCAGTATCAAGAACAGTAAAAAGGGGGTTTATGCCGCGCCCGCTTTCTCGCCCGTTCGCTCTGCCTCTCTCCCTCTCTCGCTCTCCCGCTCTCTCTTTCTTTTGCCCTGTATGTGTCAGCCTCTGTCAACGTCGTCATGTGTTGCTTCATAAATATTTCCTGGATTGGATGATTCATTTGCCGGGCGCAACATTTTTTTCTTTCGATTTCTGTCTTCGTTAGCATTATTCATTTGTTTTTAATGCTTTTTTTTTGTTGTTTTGTCTAGCTGAAGAGATTAGCGACAAATAACTGTGATACATGAAACGCATACTCCGAATACTTAACATAATTTTGAAAGTCCGAAAACGGTGTTTCCTAAATTTCGAGGGAAACTTAAACAAAATTACAGAAACATTTATTTAAACTATTCAGAATTACAAGTTCAGATTGATGAATATGTGACTTAGTTTCCTACTAAATTGATAAACCATATATCGATAATTGGTTTGCTTAAAATATATATATATAAATAATTGTTTGTTGGATCGCAATGGTCTACAGTTAGCTCTATGCAGTGAAATGTATACCTAGGATAAACTCCGGTATTTTCCATGAAGTTTTCACTGTTTTCTGTTCTGATAAGAGGCACACAAAGAAAGAAAAAGAGAAAATGTTTTCCTTCTTTGTTTTTTTTTTTTGTTTCTTGGCGTTATCAGATTAGCAGCAAGAAGAGGCGAGGCACAGAAGTTGGCGAGCATTAAAATGTCAAATGTATAAAAATAAAATGGCAAGTTCAATTTAAAGTGTGCGTTGCCATTTCTCGATACTCCTCGACACTCGACACTTGCGAAGAAAAAAACATACGTTTAAAGAAATCAAATTAAATATACATACATATCTATCTATATAATTACCTAAATACATAAACAACAATCAGCAGAACAAAAAAAAATAATAATAATATATATATGTATATGTATATAAAATAGAAGAAGGCAACTAATTTAATGTTATTTTCTTTCTAAATTCCTGTTGCACAACCCCCTTCCAACCTGCCACCCTTCCTCCGCCCGTATTTACAGAACAGACACATAACCAATTAGCAATTAAAGAGGAGCAGCAAAAATGGGTAAAGCTCAGAGCAAGCGTTCAATTGATATCACCACCGATCCGAAAAAGGTTGGCGAGGGCGACGAAGTCGCTGGCAAAGTCGAGAAAATTGAAGATGTCGATCAGACGTCGGCGCCGCCCGCATTAAATGGCGATGCGGCAACGACAAAGGAAAAGAGTCCCGGCGGCAGCGAGGAAGCAGCGGGCGCCGGAGAGGTAAGTCCCAACCAGCAAGCAGGGTAGTCGCTGTTTAAACTCATTTTGAATCGATGCAATTGCAGAAAAAGGAGACCGAAGAGAACTCTGAAAACGACAAAGATTTAACCACCGAGAAAAAAACTGCAGATGCTGATGTCGCCGCCGGTGATGCGTCTGCTGAATCTGCTAAAGATGAGGCAGTCGCTGCCTCGGGCTCGCTCAAGGAGGGCAGCGGTGCCGAGGAAATCTCACCTCTGGCCGATGAGAGCATCAAGTCCAAGTCCAAGAAGGATAAGGTGAAAAAGAAATGGTCATTCCGAAGCATATCGTTTGGCAAAAAGGACAAACAGAAGCCAGCCAAGACAGAGGAGCCAGCCTCGCCAACTGCAGCAGCGGCCGCCAGCGCCGAGTCAGCGCCAACGAATGGCGAAACGGAGCGGCCAGCAGAAGCCGAAGGAGCAGCAGGAGCACCAGCAGAAGCAGCTGCCGCAGACAAACAAGAGGTTAACACTTAAATTCAGCTAATATTTTTATAGCTCCGAGTAACAAATAAATTTGTTGTGTTTTTACAGCAAAGCGCGGACGCAGCAGCTGCAGATGCGGCGACCAAGGTTGAATCGAAACCCACCGAAAATGGTGCAGCCAGCAGCGAACAGGAAAAGCAACCACAGGAGCCACAGGCGAACGGAGCTGACAAGACATCCGCGCCAGCAGTTAGCGAGGAGGCGGTCAAGTCGGAAACTACACCAACCATCAACACCACCGAGTCGAAGGTTGAGGCGGTCGAGCAGATCGCTGTGCCGGAGCCCGTCAGTAGCAACGATACCACCGAAGCTGTTACCAACGGTCATGGCGCAGTCGAGCCCGTATTGACCAATGGCGACAAGAACGGTTTGGCTGAATCCCCAACCGAGCCGGAGGCAGCAGCAGCAGCAGCAGTAACAGGCAACAGTGTGGGTGAGGAGCCGGCACATCATCAGAACGGCACAAATGGAGTTGGCGAGAACAATGAGACTGCCACGCCACCGCCAACACCTGTCGCCGAATCCGAGACCGAGGCCGAGCTAATTAAGAACAAGTCGCAAATCGAGGTAAAACAACAACAACTAGACACCACAGCAAACAACCAGAACACTGTAAATACGAGTATCACAACAACAACAACAAGAACCACAGCCACTGAGAACACCACAATCACAATCACTGAGACAGAGACCATTGCCGCCGCAGAGTTAGTTCAGACCCAATCAACCAACACCCAAAATAACACAATACCTAACATCACCACCACCAACACCAAGACCACCACCGACAATTCCGTTTATCTTCCCACCTCCCAAGCGCAGGACGAAGTGCAAGCCGACGCCGACGCCGACGCCGATGTTGATGCCGATGCCGAGGAAGAACAAGTGGTTGCCGCTATAATAGCCGCTGTTAGTGAGCCTTCCGATCCCGAGGGTTTTGTTTTTATTGCACCAGCCGCTGAAACCGAGCCCCAGGCTGAGCTCGTACTCGAAACGGCTGTGGTTTGTGTTTCCCCTGTGCCCAAACTAGAACTTGAATCCGACGCACCAATATGCGTCCCAGAGCCCAATCCCGCTGATGCTGATGTCTTAGTTTCTGTTGCTGCTAACGCCGCGGCCCATGTGGTTCCCGTTGAGTTAAGTCAGCCGCCACCACTGCCCAAGTCTCCGCCGCCTTCACGTGTTTCGGCATTTGCATTGACCACAGACGATGAAACGCACAACAACGACGATGACGACAGCTTTGTGAACAACGAGGAGGTAATGCAGAAGGACAGCGATGCACCACCAGCCACAGTGGAGGATGGTCCACTTTTGGCCGATATTGAGCAACAGGCGCATGCATTTGTCGAGGAAATAACCGAGCAGGCGGCCGATATCGTAACGGAACAGGACAAGCAGGACGAAGTTCTAGAGAACATCAGTGAGGAGCAAATGAGTTCTGCCGCTAAGATTGTTACCGATGTTGATGACGACGATAACGATGTCATTGAGGAAAAGGCGGAGGAGCAACTGAAAAAACCAGAGCAGTTTAGCAAGGATGATGAACAGCTGGTGGAACAGCCAGAGATAATTTGCGATGAGAAAGCGAACGATGATGTGGCTGAGGACATCATCGAGGCAGGGGATATTGCTGAACAGCCGGATGTTATTAGCGAGAAAATCAGCGCTGTTGCAGATGAGTTCAGCTTGCGGGGGAACGATAGCAAGGTGACAATTGAAAGTGTGCCGGAGCTGGAGGATGTGCAAAGAGGTAGCGATGACGATACCGATAACGATAACGATAAAATGATCAGCAGCGATAACAGCAGCAGCAGCATAACAAAGCTGGATGCATTCGTGGACATAAAAGATGCTGCTCATCTTGAGGTGAATAAAAACCGAACTCAATCAAAACTCAACTCTACCTCACCACCACCACCACCACACTCTTCCCCATTGACATAGTCGTAACGCCGCGTCTTAACAGTCGTCGCTCACTACAGCAATCAGATGCATCATTTAATTAATTCCGGTATCATATTCTGCGTCGGGCTGCCCACTATCACTGTTTTTCCCCGCTCAACGCTCTCTGCTCTCTGCTCTTTCTGTGCTTCTCGAATTGCATCAGCTCTGTTGTTGTTTTGCGCTTGCCCAGCCAAGCTCTGTTAACTCTGTTATTTGTAAATGTTAAAATGTAAATGGTTTCTCTCCTGTAAAACTGCAGCAATCCGTTCTGCAGTTGTCTGTTAAGTTAACGGCTATGTTAATAGGTGGTACTCTTGAGGTCGCTCTTTTGCTGGTAACTAACTGCATGATCTTACGATTTGAATGCGAATGTGAATGAAATGTGAAATGATGGAATGTTACTAAAACAAACTGCGCGCAAGTTTAAATTGTATTGTAATTGTGCTCGTTGATTATCCATGTACTTTATTATTAACAATATACAAACGCAAACTGACGCCTTCTTGCCTACCATCCATCCTAATCCTAAAGCCACACATACACAAACATGCACACAAACGCACACACAAACGCACACACACGCACACACATACCTTACTCCAGTTCCCCGTTCTAACAACTCTGTTCGGCCGCAGTAACGCATCTAAACGCAGACTTTACAACAGTACTTTATTTAAAAGAGAGAAACTGCCGTTAAATTTGATTTTAATTCCCATTCATAAATTTTGGTATCATTATTTTCGTTGTTTAATTGTAACGTTGGCAAAGGTCATTGCCATTTGATATTTTAATTGTTGTTGTTGTGCTTTAAGTTGCTTTTCCTTTCGCTCTGTGTTCATGCTCCTTTAATTTGACATGATGTTAAAATGCGATTTAAATTTGCAACAAATGTTAATAACAGTTTTTTCGCATGTGCTTTTAGGATATCGCCAAGGATCTAAAGGAGAAGAACGCCGCGGCAGATGTTACAACACAGGACCTGCCCGTGACATGCGAATAATACTAATAATTATTATATATATTACATATTATTAAAAAAAAAACCAACAAAAAATAAAAAAAGAAAAAAAACAAGAAAAAAAAATGATAAAAGCAAATAAGAAAACAACGCAACGTAAAACCAACAATTAAATGATTAACAAGAGAGCAAAAAAAAGCAAAATACATTTTTAACATTTACATATTTTAATCATTTTTGTACGAATTTCATATCCCTAATCCAAGATTACATCAGCATATATTCAAGAGCACGAAAATACAGAATATATGAAACACACCTAACACACCACACATCGATCGCCACCAACGCCAACTTCACCACCAACACCAACTTCAACTTCAACTCCACCTCCAGCCACGCCCATCGCCCACCAATAGTCGAGTGTTGGTGCAACTGAATTTTTGATGCTGGCATTTTTGCAATAACGCAAATCAGTCTCGTTCACACGTAAATTCGTATAATAATCCATCAACACGCATTTATAAGAAATCACACACACACACATATACACTCACACACACACACACACGCATACATACCATTGTCATATTGATGATCATGATATAAAACAAAAATCATCCATGAAATGATGAAATTAAGAATTTTTTGAATAATTTCTACTATACATTTAACTGTAAGTTCTAAGAAATTTGTAAAGAATTTTTGGACGAAATATTGGATAAATATATATTATAAAATATAAAACGCAAGTGTGCTCCACTAAAAACTGAACTTGAGCTTTGATATTGGAATGGTTCGAAGAGCAAAAACTGCCTTCCACAAGAAAACAATATATAATAAATATATATATATATATATATATATATATATAGATATAAACAAAAAGGCATGCAACATTTCAAGTTTTATAAACTTTTGAGTCCCGATTTTAATGCATTACAAAAAGTATTTGTTCATAAATACAAGAATTAATTACAATATTTGTTTGATTTTGTTGCGTAACAAAGTGTTACAAAAATAATAATAACAGTGATAAACGCTAAAGTTTAAATATTAAATACATACTAAATAGCGTAACAAAATGTTACTACAAAACAAATCTACTAAGCTTAAAACGAAGCTTCTAAAGCAAAGAGCGCTCTTATTTTGCAACTAAATACAAAGAATTTACAAAACAAATTATATGTAATTAAATAAATTAAAGCGTTGCGCAACGTTAAGAAAGAATCTTACAAAAATGCTTCAATTGGCATTTATAACAAATCATGAAACAAAAATACGTTTCCAAATCAAAAAAAAAAAAGAAAATAGAAAAGCAAAGAAAATAACGTTAATTGGTTATCTCAGCCAAAATGAAAAATGAAAGATTGAGGGGAAAAGCAATCTGGCAACCCCGATTCCGATTCCAAACTCCGATCCCGATATTTGTTTTTAACAGCTAACAAAAAAGCGCTGCTTGTGCAAATGCAACTGTTGTTGCTTGCGCCGCTGCGCAGAGACATTGCGCAGCATATACACGGCGCCGAACAGAACGTAGACAGTCGAGAGCAGAATGAGCATGGGGAAGGAGAAGACAACGTGCGCCGTCTTTAGCAGCCGTTTTCTGGGCCGAAACGGTACATAAACTCCTGCAAAGGCAATCAAAAATACACACACACATAAATAAATATATATGTATATATATATATACATAGATAATAGATTAAGCCGGGCACTGCTTACCGCTTTCAGTCTTTGAATCGCACCGTTCGCCCCCGTAGCCATTGGCGCATTCGCAGTAACTAAAGCCGCTGGAGCTTTCCCAGCGAAAGCAGTTGCCGCCATTCAGGCAGAAATACTTTAAATATTCTTCGCTGCAGGGTATCCTAAAGTTAAACTCTTTCGATAACGTTCGGTTACCGGTGCTATTTGTTGTTGTTATCGGGATCGTCGGCGTCAGCGTCGCCGTTGTCGTCGTTAAAGCTTCGTTAAGTTCAGAAATGGCGGCGTCTGTTGCCAGTTGCACTGTGCTGTCATTGGGCGGCGGTTCCCCAGTTGCCGTTTTGATTGTCGATGTTGCAATTGTTCTTGTTCTTGTTGTTGTTGTTGCTCTTGTTGTGGTTGGATTTGTCGTAGTCGTCGTTTCTACTTCACTGGACCAGGGCTCTGTGCTGCTGTATTGCTCCGTTGTCGTCGCAATTGATGCCAATTCGCCGTGGATGGCCAGATTCAGCGTCTCTTGCGGCATTTGTGCCGCGTTGCCTAAGGTATCCGGTTCAGAGAGCTGTCCATCGAGATTGAGTGCCTGCTGTAGCTCCATTCGGCTGACCAGCTGGACTACATGCTCCTCAATCTGCAGCGTTTGCTGGCGCAACAGTAAAATTCGGCTCGCGCAACAATCTGGCGAAGGAGTGCCAAGAAAAGAAAAGAGAGAGAGAGAGAGAGAGGAACGCAATGAGACACACACACACAACAGTAAACAGCTGCATTCGCATGCTGATCTGGCAACTCTCTGATGCCGTGCTATAATTATTCGAGTGCGTGTTACCTGTGACTGCGACAATTGTTGAGAGCACGAAAATTACTTTCAATATTGGCATACATTGAATTTGCATTATTGGTAAACGCACGGAGCGGACGCGTCTCTATTTGTGAGTTGGTCGTTTTGTTAAGACTTTGAAGAAAATCAGTGAGAAAGTACTTTTGACTGTTAACTGTGGGGCTGTGGCCGATGTATCCGATGCGGCAATTTAAGGATCGAGCGGCGTATCGGCCGCAAATGCAATTTGGCGTCGCAACAGAAACAAAAACATATTACACATTTGCATCTCACACACAGCTGAACAACGACAACAACAATAAATTGCTGTGGCTGCGCTTGGTTGAATTTACTGCAAAATAAAAATAGAACATTTTACGACATTTGTATTTCGATTTCGATTTGGCAGCACATTTTCTGTCACATACACACACACACGCACACGCACACACGGACAACAAAAACAAAAATTGAATTGGAAAGATATTGCTTGGCAGCTTTTTATAGAAATCGAACTCTTGCACGCACCGTAGAAATGTGGAGCCTTTTAATTACTGCAAATTGAACTTGATAAAACATTATTTAATCATTTTATATAATTGTAAGCAACTAATTAGTAAATCTAGGCGCCTTGCGCATCAAAAGCTCCCTCAGCACTCGATGTCGTTGCGCGAACGTTGAAAAAGAGACTAAGCAAGCAATTAGGCGACAGGCTAGAACATCCGAGCGAACAGTTGTACCAACAGCGCTCAGTGCGCTCAGTATGAATGAAATAGTAGAAGGAGCGTACGATAGAGAGACTGGTAGAGCGTTGCAGTGAGAGCAAAGCAAAGAACTCTGATTCGATGCGACTCAACTCAGCTCTCTTGGCATTTGAGTAATAGTCATTAGACTATTACTCAATGCTCTCTCGGCTAGCAAATCTACAGTGAGATCAAAATATAGTATCATGATCATGTGTATTCGTGTTGGACATTCCTGCTGTAGCATTTGTTGCTCAGGTACATGTCTTATGCACATTTTACTATATCTAATATTTCTAATTTTCCTACATATATATTTGTACATTTTTAATAATATTATTGCAACTGAGATGAAGTCCTATTCGAGATGAGCGCGTGACTCATTTTTGAGCGTGAGGCGTGATCAGCACGACTCTACGCCAAACCCAAAAAACACGCTACACTTTTTTCAAGAGCTTTTTTCTGCAATGAATAGAACCTTTGTTCAGATATTTACAAATATTTGACATTCCTCGTGCTTCCCACGCCGATCTTTATTGTAAATCCATGTTATTCCAGATCTAGAATCTAGATCTGGGGAACAAATAATGTAATTGTCCATAATTATAGCTGATAATTATGGTCTAGATATGTTTAACAAATTTCGAAAAAAAGAAATGTCTTGTGTGCTTGAAGAATTCGGTACTTCTTAGAGTAAAACTCGTGATTTTTAACAATTGTATCTTTTATTCTTACATGTCAAATAGTAATTAATTGTATCGCATTTATTTGAATTAATTAAACTTATTGTAATACACAATAAATTTAAAAATTCGTTATCATTTGTTTTTTTTTTGTTTTTACGTAGTTTGCATTTTGCTGAAAATTTCTATTTTGCTTGAAATCTTTATTTTTCTTTTCTTTTTTTTTTTTTGGTATTACTTTAGATATATATGTATGTATATACGACATCACTTTTTCGTAATTGATATTTCTCCTATGCAATTCATGTATTCCTATATAAAGCAATAAATAACTTCTTTGGGAGGGGGGAGGGACTTTTTCGGCATAATAAATGTTGTGCTCTGTCCTGCCCCCCCCCGCACGTTTTTATGTTCCTATACAGACTTAATTTAATTTAAAATGTAGTTCTTTCTTTTTTTTTTTTTACTATACACAAATATACAATATTTACATTATACTAAAATATCAAAGTTAAAAGTACAAACAAATGTGGTTTAGGAAGTGATAAATCGTAGTGAAAAATCATTAAACATTATTATTTAAGCCAGTTTGTTTTAAAGCATGTCCACATACATATCCTTCAATGTGTGCGAGTGTGTGTGTGTGTGCGTGTGCGCGCTTGTGTGTGTATGTATGTGTGTACTCGTTATGTACATGTCAAGTAACTCGTATTTTAATCATTCTATCGAGTATAAACCAAATAAAAATAAAAATAAAAAATTACTGAAACTTGAGCAAATTGTGTTACATTAGTAAACGTAATAAAATTGGTGCATGTACCGAAATGCAGTCGACGAAAGCTCTCGCGACGGCAACGGCGCTGTTAACTGTTAAGCTTTTCTGTTAGTTCGCTGGCTCAGCGCTGTTAAGACGCTCGAAAGCTTTCAAAATGGCGTCGCTAGTGCTGTCGCTGCTTCTGTTGCTGTTGGGCAGCTGCGAGCAGCAAATTGCGCGACTGCATCTCAAAATAACGCAAAAGTATTTTTGAGTATCAGTAATGTACGCCGGGAGTTGATGGATTCGGATTTGGATTGGGAATGGGATTTGGATTCGGATTGGTGGTGGCATTTGCATTGGATGCCGCCCCACTGCCGCCTCCGCTGCTGCTGTGGTTGTTATTGTTGTTGTTGTTGTTGTTGTTGCTATTCGCGCTGCTGTTGTTGTTGTTGTTGTTGTTGTTGCTGGTATTGTTGTTGCTGCCGGAGTCGCCGAGCCAGGAGTCGGGACTAGGCGGAAAGTCAGGGTAGCCCTGATCGGGACTAGAATCGTTGCTCAAATCCGAAACATTGTTGCTACTGTGCAGGCGATGATGCGATTTGCTGGGCAGTAAATTGGAGCCAACCGCATGATCTAAACAAAAAATGAAAAGGACAACCAATCTGTGTTAACTCCAATTCAAAGCAGCTCCAGCTAAACCCTACCTATATTAGTGTACACAATGTTGTCCGGATACGAGCCGAACGTATGAGTCTGGCCGGGCGCAGGCGGCGAGCGACTGCTCGGCGGATACTGCGACGGACTGGAGCTGCCGTGCATGTAGGAGCCGCGTATGCTGTGCGGCGAGGCGCCCTCGTCCAGGCCCAAATTGACGGTGCTGTAGCTGTCGTTGCTAAGATCTGCGGATCGAAGGATCACAGGATGTGCGTGAGCGAAGGGCAGTTGGAGGTTGAGGTGACTGGGTAACCTACCGTGATGACTGAAACTGTCGTAGTCCACCTTCAGCTCATCCTTGTCGAGGAATTTGTCAGTGCGGGGCGAGCAGTTACCCTTCATCGAGCGGAAGTACT